TTTTAAAATAATAAAAACTAACTAGAAATTAAAAAAAAATTAATATAAAAAAGGAAAATCTTAAATTAAAAAAGAAACAAATAATTTAAGCTTCTAAAAATTGAATGACATTAGAAAAATAATTTTAATAAAAAAAAAATAAAATCTAAAATAGTAATAAAATATGTTCTTAAAAATTAAAGGAAATATTTTTTTTTTTAATAATAAAATAAAATTTAAAAGAAAATGAAAGTAAAAATTAAAAAGAAAAACAAGAAAGAACAAAATAAAATAAGATTGTAAAAATCAGTGCAAAAACGCCCTATCTCAGCTGAAAATACATTGAAAATGTGCTGAGATAGAACGTTTTTGAATTGTCAGCTGACATAGGGCGTTTTTCGAACAAATTCTGAACTAGGGCGTTCTTCAATCAAATTCTGAATTAGGGCGTTCTTGAAAAATTTTCTGTGATATTGCATTTTCGAATTCGCTGGCGAAATAGGTCAATGTTCCAGGTAACATTACAAAATTTCTACATTTTTGGTTAGAAACCGCTCTTGTTGGCATTATCTCCATTTTAAGTCTTATGCTTGATGCTCTTCTTAAAACAGAGTTGCCTATTCCAATGGATATATTAGGTACATGTAATAATCTAGAAGATCCAAAGACCTACTATATATAAAAAAAAATACTTATTTCCTCTCTTACGCCACTGTGCGACGGCTGTGGCATAACGTGCAACCACTTTATTTAGCAGACCATGACGTTAATGTATGTACATATTGCAGATGACGCCGTCATTATAAACCAATACCAACACCACCGTCACCGTCACAGCCACCTCCACTAGAGTGAGACGCTCGTGCCACCATTGTCGTGACGCTGTAATTGTTTCTTGTCCAATTCTATTCACTTTTGTTTCTATTTAGTTACGAGTAGTTTCAAATTTCTTATTGCATTCGCTTGCTTGCTGTGCACGTCATTCACTCTGCACACTGCAGCAAGTCTATCATTCTCAGGTACAACATTTTGGTCAGGTTGCATTTCCTCATTTTTTGATTGCCACCACTTTTTTCCACGAATTTCTGTGTGCTTCTGAAGTTCATTTTGTTTGTAGTTATTGTCGCGCTTCGCTTGGCTGGTTTTGTGCGCGCTTTTTGCGCTTCAGTCAATTTACCAACTTGCCAACTTGCCACTTAGCCAGTCAGTTAGCCTACCAGTCAGTCATCCAGGCTCTACATACAACCAACTGCTTGGCAAATAAATATCAAATGCTTGTAGTCAACTAGTCTGCTTTAGAAAATTTGTTGCGCGGTTCTGTAGCTACATACATAAAACAAAATAAAATAAATAATTTATTTCCATTGCTTCCTTTTAACAAAAGGAACCTTCATATCAAAATGGTAAACAATTTTATTTTTATTTTTTTTTTGCTTTTCTCATTTTGTGTAATAATCGCTGTGGCGTAAGTTTACATTTGCCGCTGTTGCGCGTCCATTTGGCCACTTTTAATGGCTTTGCTGATATTACGTTATTCACTGGCAGTATACTTTTTTATATGTATGTATGTATATATTTCTCGCGCAAATTTGTTTTTGCCATATTAGTACTTTTGGCCGTTCGCGTGCCGGAAATTGTGTTCAAATTTAGTAGGTCTGTAAAGTCCAGCGCACCATACTCAGACCCCTAGGCTCAGCAGGTATTAAGGCGCGTGTGTAAGTATATGTATGTTTACTTGAATGTTTATTCCGATGTAAATATACGATATAATGGACACAACAATTGACTATTATTAAAAAAAAGGCGTGTTTTTTATGTTGCACGTGTCGCGGGAGTGGCTATAACATATTGACATTTTACTATCGGTTTAATTATTTGTACTTTGTATGCAAGTACATGTCCTTGTGCTTGTTATCCACCCATGGATGCCGACTCAAAGGATTTTGTTCACCAGAGCATCATCATCCATACCGACGACATGTCCAAGCCAGCGCTATCTCTGCATTTTTCTTCATTTCGCTATATCTATGTATGTATGCGTGTATGTCATTATAATGGCCAAAGAAAAGAAAAGCAAAAACTCCATATAAAATGACGTACAAGAAATGGCTAAGAAATTTTCTTAAGTCAAATTTCCTTAAGGCCGTACGCAGTTCTTAAGAAATTTGCTACGCTTTCTACTACGGGTTTCTAAAGTTTTTTTTGTGAAAAAAAGAGCACAAGGCAACGCATGTTTGCTACAGAAATATAGTAGTTGATTTTTCCAATAGGGTAGGTATTTGATGTATTTGCAACGAATTTCCGTCATCCCTTGTCAAAATTGGTTGTGCCATTTTCAGTGCCATTTTCCATTCTCAGCTATGCTAAACATTTAAGTACACTTATGAAATTATTTTCCCAGGACTATGTACTGAATATGGATAATAGTGTTTAGCTACTACATATTACCTAACGATATACAGCGGACAAAAGTACTTAATATTTATGGCTTTAATATATACTGTATATAAAAGAAGTCCCGAAAAGTCCTGAAGGCCCCGGAATAGCTCCATTTATCCTGAAATAGTCCCGAAAAGTTCGGCAAATTCTGGGGAAATCCCGAAAATTATACCACGAAAAATCCTGAAAAATAAAGAAAAGTCTCGAAAAATTCCCCAAACCTCCTAAAATAACCCCGAGGAGTAAAACACGAAAAATCTTAAAAAAAAATATCGCAAAAAAGTTTTGAAAAGTTTCGAAAAGTTCTGAAGCATTCCGAAAAATATAACACAAAGAGTGCCGAAAATCCTGAAAAAGAAGAAAGGCGCCGAAAAAATCCCAAAGTTTCTAAAATAATCCCGAAAGATAAAACACGAAGGACTACGAAAAAGTTAAAAATATCCGGAAATTTTTTTAAATAAATAAAAATTCCGAAAAGCACAAAGCATTTTTTTATTTTGTCCATAAGTCTTAAAACAAAAATTATTAATGTATTGTTTCTTTTTCGTAACTGTTAAGTATTTAGAAATCTACAGTACCTTAGTACTTAAGTACATATGTATTTCTTAAATACTTGGTGCCTAGTATTTAGCACCTGCTAAATATTTGAATTACTTTAACTTTAGTATTAAGACATTTCTAAATACTATGAATACAAGTACTTAGTATCCAACAAGGATTTTAAATACAAAAGTATTTAAGTAAGTATACCTATCACTGGTACTTACAATATTGGCACTCTAATGATGAGTGATTATAGCGCGTTACCTTATGGCTGTAACCGCCACAGGCAGCTTTTGCTCTATACAAAATGTATACAGGCTGGTTTTCACTATGCCAAATTCAGTGGCATTTGTCGTCAAATAAGTGAAAACACATTGTCAAATGGGATCAAAAAGCGGTTTATCGGTTGATTTGGATCAGAATAGGTCTTAGTCGTGTACATGCGTTGCGAAATTAGCTATCTGTCAGTATTTAGCCCATAATATCATCGGTAAAGGTATGGATAAAGGATATAAAGTTGTGTCAAAATATGTCGCCAAATTTTGGCGTCAAAATATGACATAGTGAAAACCAGTCTTAAGAAAGCTTAAAAAGCTCTGCAAGTAGGAGCACTTCACCGACTTGTAGAAAGGCACGCCCAAAAAGACTAGGCGTAATAATTCATAAGTTCTGGAAAATCCGCAAAGACAAAGAAGTAGCACAATTTGGAATTTTTGCAAAAATATTAAAAATGTTAAATTTAATATTTTTTTGTTTGTAATTTCCATTTCTTCTGAAAATAAAAAATGTTTGCGGTTGTCCCCGGTTTCTGGACACAAAAAAGTCGTGAGTAAACATCTGTGTCCCGAAATGATTCCGAAAAATCTCGAACTACTCCCGAACTGGCCCTGAAATGAAACAGAAAAAGTGCCTAACCATACAACGAGCAGTGTTGCTAGAACAGCTGATCAGATTTGTTCTAATTTTTAACCATTACTTCACAAAAAGGAGAAGGTTATTAATTCGTCGGATTTTTTTGTATGTATAATTCTATAATTCTTTTTTTTTTTTAAAGGAAAGGTGTTACCTCACACGGGGTCCCATGGGATCATGAAGAAATTAACGATAATCTTAAGATCGTATATGAGAATTGAAGTCGGTTTTGTTTTTTTGCTTAAAAATCACTTGTTTACTATGCTGAAGTCGGGCAACGTTCTGCTAGACAACAAAATTCGAAGGAACTTTCTCTCGAAGAACAATTCAGGAACTTTCTGACAGAGAACGATATCTTGATCTCTTATAAAAGTTCCCGAAACTATTGTTTTCGTTTTATTCTATTTGTGAACGTTCCACAGGGTTTTGTTCTTATATAATTCCCGTTGAGAACTTTCTCGAAAGCTTTGTTCTCACTTTTTCGTTCTTGTAAAAACCAAAAGTTTCGTTCTCAGTTCGGTTTGGGTTTTTAAGCGCTATTGGACAATATTTTTGTTTCATAGTTCATTCACCTCGAGTTCCCTGTTCTAGTACTTAACCACCAAATCGCAGTTCTTATCAAAAAATATATATATGGGGCCGGTCATCTTCAGTTATGTACTCGTATATTTTTGTTTGATTATTTGTTTCGAGTTTTAAGTCATTGAGTACCCTCATTTCCTTAATAGTATTACTGATAAACCCACTGTAATATCAATACAAAGCTTTACTTTGTATGTAGCTTTGTGCGATGCAAAAAACGCCTCCATACGATGATAATAAATATCAGTTTGAGGAAAAGCATGAATTGAGCTTATCATCGAAAACCACTGTTTGCTTACTTGAATATTGTATGTATGTGCAAGAAAATGTGCGCTTTGTGCTATATACATACTTAGTATATATGCATGTACATACATTCACATATTTATGCACATAAAATCATGAACATTGTACTCTTTCCGATTTTGTTAAATTGTAAAATAAACTTTATTTCTGCTTCCGTTGAAAGCGGTGCGTTTGTTGTTATGTAGGCTCCGTTGTTGCGCTGCTCTTCAACTCAGAATTTATTATCGCATTTGGTTGTGACGTTAGTTGCTTGGTTGCTTGCTTGGTTGGTCGCTCGTTAAATATTCGCACTTGCCCCGTGCAACTGTAATGAACTTTTAAGTAAAGCGCGAACATAAAAATTAAAATAAATACCCAAAGCGATAAATGCAAATTTGCCGCATAAATATCAACAATGGACTAAATAGAGTGCAAAAACTAAAATACATAAATGAATGCAAACAGCGGAATTTCATTAATATTTGATAATTCAAATTAGTCGAAAACGGCGTTGAGCCACTGGGTATTGACACCAAAAAGTAAATTATAACTTTAAGCAGCATATTTTATGCAAAAAAAAAATCCTTTGTGTGTCACCCTGCCAACTATTAATTTTTGTTTTTTCTTTCTACTTGCAGCGACCCGCGTTTGCCTCAGTGACTTTTCACGCCTGTGTATTGCATCAGCCAGCAGTAGACTATCCTGTCCTAAAGTGCAACGTGCAAAGCCGTCCCTGAAGGTGTGTGTGTGTGTGTATTCCTACGTACATAAACTGCACATTATTGCTGCAGTGCTTTTGTGGCTGACTGACGTCGTCTCGTTGTGGTCCGCATGCATTTCCGTTGCCCCCCACATGCCATGATGCGTTACTCGGAAATCTCCAGAGAATTATCATCGGATAGCTTGCGTTACGTTGAAGTAAGTAGCAATTGTTGAGATTCATATACATATATGATGTTCATACAATTGTAATTTAAATTTATTTATTTATTTTCGCCTGCCAGCTGGGTGACGAGTACATCTATAAGAATTTGCGTGAGGATTCACCACGCAGCGATACTCAATCCAATGGTAGCAACGGATATATGGCGCCACCAACACTCATTTCCAACAATCATCACCAACACCTTGCACAACAGCAGCAATCTCATACTCCACAGTTTCAACAACAACAACAACAACAACAAGAGCATTCACGTAATAACTACACTAATTCGATGAGCAATTGCGGCCAACAACACTCCGCCAACAATATACGCAATTCGAAACGGTATTCGTGTGGGCGTGACCGCAGTCATGATGGCGCTTCCACCATTTCCTATATGCGTCCACGCAAGGATAGCACACGTTCGACACAAAGTTGTCAATTCGATGCGGAACAGTTGACGCAGGCAATTGCTAGCAAGACAATGCATGTGAAGAGTAGTCGTCGCAAAAATTCCATTGGCTGTTTGAATTCGTTATCCTCATCGCCGGGCTCACCCGGTTGCTATTATTGTGTTGGGTAAGTGCAATAAATATTTGGGCTGTGATTGTTCAATGAAGCATCGTACAATTTTACTTGGATATTTATTTCAATATTATTCTTCCCTCATTCTAGCTCCGCTCCACCGCCCGGCAAGAGTCAGAGTTTGCCAGCACGTTCGTCTATGAATAATTTAGATGCGGTCATTTTGAATGCTTTACGTGTGCCCGCTGATGAATTGGCCAATCAGATTACACTTTTAGATTTTCCCATCTTCGCCGCCATACAACCGGACGAGTTGACTAGTTGCGCTTGGACGAAGAAGGACAAACATGTTGTTACACCGAATATAGTTGCATTTACGAAACGTTTCAATCATACCAGCTTTTGGACTGTGCAGGAGATTTTGAGTGGCGAGCAGCCAAAGCAGCGTGCGGAAATACTGACACATTTCATTAAGGTGAGGGGCTGGAGCTCATAAAGCGAATTTAAATTTTGATGCCACATGAAAGCCAAGACGGGTCCAATAACTAAGATTCACTTTTTCATTACCCCAGTGAATTTAGTTTTGCCCTGGCCACATGCAACTTTAAAATAATAGATCGCACAAGCAGATAGCTGAAAATGAATCTTGGGCTTAGACACAAGAGTAACCAGTTTTGCAGCCCATTGAATTCTAGTAGAATAAAGAACAAGTTTCAAAAGGTTAAAAACTACCGTTGATTTTTTTAAGATTTTTCTTGTCACATTTTGCTTCCATATAACGAATAAACATAATTTGGTTTTATATGGAAGAAAAACGTAACTTCTTCGACAAAAAAAATTCTAAAAAATCAACGGTAATTTTAACCATTTGAAACTTGTACCTTGTTTTACTAGAATTCAATGGGCTAGAAAACTGCATAGTCAGAATTTTTCTAGGAAGTCTATTTAGATAAGCTCGAAATTTTTACGGAAATTTGTTGATTTTTTTTTAATATTGTTTTTTAAACTTGGATTTACAGTCGTTTTGTTAAAGAATCAACTAAAGTTTTATTAAAAATATCCAAAATTAAATAACAAAAATTCAAGCAAGGTATGAAGCCTGCGGCATAGTCAAGGACAGCACTGCCTTTTCTTCTTTTTTATTTTAGTTTTTTTTTTGACAATAAATATTTAAAAATACTTATTCATCTCCCTCGCAGGTGTCCAAGAAGCTGCACGAACTCAACAATCTGCATTCGCTGTTCGCCATCATTTCTGCCATGCAAAGTGCCAGCATTTTCCGTTTGAAAAAGACTTGGGCTTGCCTCTCCAAAAAAGATAGACAAGCATTTGAACGATTAAGCGATATTTTTAGTGATCAAAATAATTGGGAGAATTTACGTGCCTACTTGGAAAGTTTACGCCTACCATGCATACCCTATTTGGGTCTTTTTCTAACTGATCTAATTTATATTGATTTGGCGCATCCGCATAAGGGTGGTCTGGAGCCCGAACAGCGACGTAATAAAATGAATAATATATTGCGTGTCATTGCCAACTATCAACAATCGAACTATACGCATATACTGCCAATTGAGGCCACACAAAAGTACTTGACTTCGATACGCTACATTGAGGAATTGCAGAATATTTTCGAAGAGGATCAATACAAGTGAGTAGAAAAATAGTACACAATTTTCATTTTTATTTTTACTTATTAAAGTGCTTTATTTACTCTATGATTGCAGAAAATCCTTAAAGTTGGAGCCTGCCTCACCGTCCGGTCCGAGTTCCTCCTCTTGCAGTTCGAAAGAGTCCTTCAATGTGGATGCAGTTACACCAGCGCTTGCTTGCTTGAACCTGTCACCTGCCAAAACGATCGGCTCAATGCGTATAGCCAATAGCAGTGGTAGTAAATTCATACCCGGCCATCGTAAATGTCGCAGTCTGGGCACAAAGTAAGTTGTATCGATATCGCATTCTACGAACCTGACCCATAAGCGTTTCACTTTGACATTAATTGGCTATTCCAAATTGCTGTATTAATTTAAGAAGCAAAAAATGTAATGTAATTTGTCTTTCCAACACTTGTAATTTAACAATTTGTGTTTTTCGTTTTCGTATTTATTTACTTGCCTTCTCACTAACCATCTCTATCACCCGCTACGCAAAACGACACCCAACATTCTTATTATTACTTTCTTTCTTTCTCTCTCTGCATTCGTCTATTTATCTCACAATATCATGCAATTGGATGTATATAAATACATATGAACGAATACCGTCGCGTGCGTCTGCGATATAAAATGTGCAAAAAATCTACAACGAATGTGCGCTCCGCCAAAAATAAAATTAATATATATTTTTTTAAATTTTTTGTTTTGTTAATTGCCAATTTTCCTTATTAAATATTGTCATGTGTGTTGGCAGATTTCGTAGCACCAGCTTGCCACGAAACTTCTATCACAAATGTCAATGTTCCATTTTGATGATCGCACCTGGCATTGGCACGATTTCCAATAAGCGTTGTAGATGCAGTCGGTGAGTGGAAAATTTATACATACCGTTGTACGTGTTCCAAATTCAATACCATTTTTTCTTATTTGCCAAGTTTTTTTTTGCATAACCAATGCCTGCCGTTTGTTGCTATCCTGCTTTTCATGTAAATATTTTTAATTTTTCAAATTTTAGTATCCCTCTATTCTTATTTACATATTTCACCCCTGTTAGAAAATTTATAACATAAAAATATTCTATATTTGTTTTTAAATTTTGTGTCTATAAATGTTGCCCTACGTCTTGAAACATATAATGCCGTATTTCCACTTGGCTTTGAAACGACAAAGTTGAAAGTAGTATTCATCATATTTAATTACCCCTTATTTGCTAATGACAGGTTGGATTGGTTGGAGAATAGACTTCCTCGTAAGTCCAATTTTTATGAAAACACAGGAAGTCCAAAAGAAGCACCACAAATTCGATAAGGTCAAAATAACACGAATTCTTTTAAAACGAAAAACAGTTTGTTGAAATTTTTCAATAGAAGCTCGCTGTACTGTACCAATCGTGTGACAAAAAAAATCTCGTTTCACAGAACGAAAGGACTTTCCAGTGTTCATTGGCTGCTTGAGTGGTGCGATCACTAACCAACTGGCCGTTGGTATACCTTCCTTTCCTGGAAAAGTGTGGGTGAATGCACCTTTGCTTGTCAATTCGTCAGCTTGGCAACCACCCTTAAAATATCGGTGTACAGTAGACCACGTCAAGAAAAAATCATGCAATGCGACCGAAACCCGACTCAAATTCTAGTAATTCCTTTTTTGTAATTAAAAGATTTTACCCAAACAGGGCAAGCGATTAAAAACGATAATTTAAACAATCAATATGCTAACGAAACTATAGGCCAAATATAGTATAATTGCGTTTTTAGTTTTTCTCTTTGACGTCAGGATTTATTTAAAAAGGACTTTGAAATTTCGAATATATGATTTAATCAAAAAATTATTTTAAAAATTCAGTGCAATGTAGAACGGTGTAATAATGCTGCGCTGTGCAGAAAACTTAAATTTTTTCAAAAAATCGTACAGATATTTCTTTCATGGCAAGCCCTTCATTAGATTTTCTTTGAAAATTTGTTGCACAAGCATCATACTAAAATTTAGATCTGCCATATCCTTTTGTATTCACCTATTTGTCCTCCATTCTGTGCTAAAATGTTACAAACCGTATTTTATACAGAAATATGTATACGTAGTTATTACATATGAATATCTCATTGCATGAATCTTTGTATACTCGTGTGATGCAAACAAAGCTGTACATTCTTCTCTAAAAATATTGCAAATATTATTTTCCCCTGCGTTACTTACTTACTTTTATATTTTCTCAGACCACTATATTGTATAACTAAAATTTTTACACTTCCAGCTAATCATATTTTTCCCTCTCCCCTCCTTTTCAGCATTTTCGGCAAAATAACACACTCTCACAATGACAGCAACAACTATGGCAATCCCTCCACCATGATGCTGGGCTACGGCGACGAACATCACTTACATGACTACAGCATACTGAGTCAGCAGCAACAAGCACGCCATCCGCTAGACGATTCGGTGTTGGAGCACAGCAGTAACATGCTTAGTAGCGGTGATGCCACCTCGAATGATAGTGTCGAAGGCGTACTCTGCCATAACAGCGACTTAGAGCTGATCTATGCGCCCTCGCTCGATCTCGACCGCTGTGTGCAGGGTTGCGTGCGACGTAAAACTGTGCAGAAGGAGGGACGCAAGCCGGCAGTCGCCTCATGGCAACGTTACTGGCTGCAAATATGGGCCAATTCACTTGTCTACTTTCCGCCCAAATCGTTTAAAGGCAGTGAGCGTAGCGATTTCAAGCGCGAGCCATGTAAAGTGTGTCCACTCGAAGGTTGGTTTGCGCAGGTGGTCGACAATACGAAACATAAAAACTCATTTGAATTGTATCATCGCACAATCGGCACGATCTATAAATTTCGCACGGATAGCGCTCAAGCGACACAGCTATGGACCAATTCCATTTGTAAGGTGGCAATGCAGCGTAGTGTACCCAAGCCGCTGCCCATCAATTTGATGTCGTTCGAGTGATTTGTTAAAGGAAGATTAGATAGTGTTAAATGTGTCAAACTCAAATGGGGTAAAAATATGCAAGAAGTACATACACAAACAGATTTGTAAACAGCTGTGTGCAAAATTATATTCATTTGTACTTGTTGTGGCTTTGACTATATACTCTTTGCTTCGATTATTGTTTGCTGCTTTC